TTTTAGAAGACCAACATATTCAACTAATTTTTACTGCAGTGAATTCACCCTTTTCGAATGGTTTAAATGAGAGACTAAATCAAACATTGGTTAACAAAATTAGATGCAAGATTAACGAAAATGATACTAAAGTAGCATGGACGACCATAGCACAAAATTGTGTAAAAAAATATAATGAAACGGAGCATACTGTCACTAGATATGCTCCCACGTATCTATTAAATGGCACCGATGTTACGATTTTGCCTAATGAGCTAAAACCAAAGAAGACAGAGACCAATTGGATTCAAGACAGGAAAAAAGCTCTACAAAATACACTTCAATCACACAATTACAACAAGACACTTTATGATAAAAATCGTATACACTTCGACTTCAAAGTGGGTGATATGGTTTTTGTGGAAAATGGCAACATGCTAAATAGGAAAAAGCTTGATGAACTAAGAATCGGACCATACAGAATAATGGAAAAATTGTCTAACACGATTTACAGGATCAACTCTGGAAATAAAAAAGCAGAGTCTAACTTTTTCCATATCTCAAAATTGGTTCCAGCTCCGATGCTTGACGAAGATGACTAAGAAGTGTTGAAAAGTCACAATAGGTTATATTTAATGATAAACTTTCGTAATATTTTGTATGTGTTATCTTTCCCAGGGGGGGTGATGTAAAGAAAATATATTTTCTTTAGTTCAAATAAAGGCCGCGCTGCTAGCGCCAGCGAATATAGTCAGCCTTTTTTTAGTTAGTCTGTGGTCGAATGAATTCCATTATGAAAACTATTGACGTTAGGAATTGATATTGTAATTAATAACATTAAATGTCGTTTCTTTTATTACCGGTAAGGTTTATAATAAATAGAATATTATACTTTGTAATTAGTACTAAACAAACATGTTAACTAACATAAATCTTTTATTACAGAGAAACTCAGTTGTGTTTTGATTTACGATATCATATCACCTAACTGTTGAACTATTAACCTAACATTATATATATATAAATATATATATGTGTGTGTGTGTGTATATGTATATATAAGTGTAGAACAACATTGTCTGGGCCTGCACCTTAGTATTTTCTCAACTTCTCCCTTGTAAAAGTAAATCTTGTCTAAATAATATTTGGATTTAGAAACTGATGGTAGAGAAGAATGATTTATAGCATAGTTTTTATTAAATACCGATGAAAAGTGACTAGTAAACAAATCACATATTCCTTGCCTAGTGTTTGCCTGTTGATTATTTAGAGACATATCTTTACGTCGCAATTTTTTTATATAATTTAATTTTCTTATGTAATTTATTTTTACATTTAATAAGCTTAATTAGGGCAGGCGTAGACCAAGTAGGATATGATTTTATTGATTTATATGAAATGGAGACGAATTCTACTGCCATGTTATATACACACACACACACACACACACACGCACACAACTCATTTCATAAAACCTAGATACCATTTAATTTATATTATTTAATGAGTCTAGAGTTGGGAGCCAATCAATATCATTACGATATGCTATAATGGAACCGTATTCACCTTTATTATAATTGTGTAAACGCCTAAAAAGCCTTAATTATAGGAAATATATCCGTAGAGCTATTTTTTAAAGTAATGTCTAATGATGGGTGCAAATTATCTACTTTGCATAGTGGAAATTGACTTTCAGTAACATTAAGAAATACGTTGGATAAGACCAAATCTAAAACTTTTACTCTTTTATTTTTGATGCCGTTGAATTGTTTGAGATCGTGCAAAGGAAAGGAATCTGTTAGGCTACTTTTAAAAAGGCAATTATTATGGTTGCTTGGAGATGCTTACAGATTATTGTCAGGTTACATTGTCCAAGTGATAGAACTCATATTGAAATTGCCAAGTAATAGAATAGAATTATTAACTACGCCCAAATCATTATTATTTATGGATTCAATTATATTATAAATGAAAGTTTACAGTGTCACGTGCGACCGGCGAAGGTATGTATACCGCGCACACATGTATATATTTGACATTACCTGAATTTTATCTTTATAATTTATACGTGGTAGAGCCATGCTGCAGCTATATTAGTAGTATAGTTGTAGCACGAATGGGTCGGCTCATCCGGGGAAGGACTACGCTCTCATAAAATACAAGCGTAAAATAGCAGCTTAATGCTGCTGTATTTCGTATGGTGAGTGTAGAGAATCGGAGAATCTTTTTATTGGAAAAGAGGCATTCCATCTTAGCCTAACGGGTGACAACGCATCTGCATTTTGATTCGCAAACGAGGATAAATGTAGATATCTATGGGCCACAGCAACCAATTACCATCAGGTGGACTGTCCGCTCGCTTGTCACCCTATCCTATAAATTTTTTTTATAATTGTAACATAAGCAACATGTTTTTTTTAATTATTTCATATCTTTTGAACATTATTAGCTGTTTTTGTAAATTTAATGAATTTTTAGGGACAATATTAAATCTTTACTTAACTATAATACTTAATGTTTGAAATGAATATATTTTAACTTTAAGCTTATTAATAACTAGCCGACCCGCCGAACTTCGTACCGCCTAAGAGTCGATTTTTTTATTTTTTATTTTTTTTATACTTATTCTGCTATTCGGGACACCGGGTCAGCTTATAAGATAAAAAAATAAAAAATAAAGTTGAGAAGTCAACAATTACATTATGTCAAAAAATAAAAATTATAAAACACTTTTAATAGTAAAAATAAAAATTCTTTTAATAGTCACTAAAAAATCACGATGAATATTACAATTTCTTATTTCTTATTACGATACCTGCTTTTTATGTTTCATTTTATTTTTACTTATTCTAAATTAAGTTTCCATCGTATAAATATTGATAAATATTTATACGATACGATACGACATAATATTTATACGATACTAACGTCACTCAATTTTTTTGCCTTCCCGGACCCCTCCACTAACACTTAAACTTTATGGTATGGTATTGAAGTTCAAATTGACTTTTAAGTATTATTAGGAATCTTTTGTATGGGATTTTTTTTTTTATAGGATAAGGGTGACAAACGAGCACACAGTCCACCTGATGGTAAGTGGTTGCTGTGGCCCATAGACATCTACATCTATCCTCTATTACAAATCAATATGTAGATGCGTTGTCACCCGTGAGGACTAAGATGGAATGCCTCATTTACAGTAAAGAGGGCCTCCGGCCACCTGCACTCACCAAGCGAAACGCAGAGGTAAACCTCTACTTCACGCTGGTTTTCTGTGAGGTCGTGGTACCACCCCGGTTCGAGCCGGCCCATCCGTGCGACAGCAAAAGCTGCCGCGTGGCTCTACCACTGCTAAAATATGGAAAAGTGTTGTTTTTAGACTTTTTCAGGCAATTTTTTAAATTTTTCTCTCCGTAAGAACCATTTTCGTACTTCAAGGAATATTATAAAAAAAGAATTAGCGAAATCGGTTCAGCTGCTCTCGAGATTTACGCTTAGCAACACATTCAGCGATTCATTTTTATAATAAAGCCGCTTTATTCCTTAATAGAAAATAATTACAAAAACAACAGTTATATGTACGCTTAGAAAATAAAAAGTATATATTTCAATTAAGGACCTCTCTTTGAGTAAAAGCCTTCTCCATCATTGAAGATCCATGTTTGGCAGCCATATGTGAGACAGGGAAGTATGCAGCAATTCATGACTTTTTTTTTTAAATTTAGCTGTGGAACTGCTTTCAGTACCTGTTTGTGTTTCCAAAACTTATTCCAGGTTATAGCGATTATGTTTATTACATAAAATATTACATCAATGATATTTTCAGACGACTTTATACAGAAGTTAATTATAATTTATTATTAATAATAATGCACCGTCACAATGTCATCAATGAAAATACGCAATGGTTGCACAATTTTGTTTTCAAGTTTTGAGGAATACGTACGAGAAGATGTGTCGCGATCTCTCGCTGCCAAGCCACTTTGGATTTGTCTATTGACCTGTCGGAACTTCGACAGTTTATCCTAGGTAAACATACTTACCCGTGTAATTGTGTTGTGTATTTTTTTATAGCATAAGTGTGACAAATGAGCACATAGTCCACGTGATTGTAAGTGGATGTTGTGGCACATAGACACCTACATTTATCCTCAATTAAGAATCAAATTGAAGATGCGTTACCACCCCTGAGGACTAAGATTGATGCCTCATTTCCAGTAAATCTACTACCCCATATCGTCCTATGTATGTCATTAGAGACGGCAGAGGTAAACAAACCAGGGGATGGACAGCAGAGCTATTCTAATAACAACTACAACATAAAAACTACGGTTGCCAACCCGCCTTGTATGCGTGGCAACTACGACAAATATCCCGTTATTAGGCTCATGAAGAAGGCCTATGTTCAGTACAGGACTTTTAATAGATTATGACGTTGTAAACATACTCGTCAACAACTTTCGAGCGTAGTATACTAGTGTTATATTTGAATATTTTTTAAGCTAACTAGGTGGCCAGATACACGATGTTCTGCCTATACCAACGACCCCTTGTTCTATTAAAAAATCCTTAAATTAGCAATAAAAATATATTGATGAATAGAATAGAATAATTTTTTATTCAATATATATCACATGTGTAATTCTTATTGAAAGTCATTTTTCACTTTACCACTGGTTCGAAAAAAACCTCTGTCCTGGGAAGAACCAGCAAGAAACCTAGCGGGACTGTATTTGTGAGGTAACTTATTGGGATAAAAACTATCCTATCTTTCAAGTTGGACGAAACTGCAGCTAGTGTGCAAAATTTTATTGAAATCAGTTCAGTAGTTTAGGAGTTCATCGCGGACAAACAACGTGACACGTAATTTTTATATATAAAGATGTATAAATAAAAAATAGGTTGCAGTCTATAACATTTATTATAAATCCCTACGTAATATCACAACAAAGGAAAATCAGTCAACAGTAAATACCACTAATATTTTGATCGTTTATTTTGACTAGTTAATAATTCTTGTCTTATGATCTGGGGATGTGAGCACCCTCAGCCTTGTATCCGTCCTCGTTAGCGACGTACGTGATGGTGTAAACGACTCCATCATTACCTGGGTAAGAGTACTGGCCACGAACTTCAAGGACTTCGTCTTCAGTGCCAGCATTCTTTAGGTGACCTTCTTCAGAAGCAGTCTTACCGTCGCTGGTCTCGTATCTAAAAATATAAATATATTTGGTTTTTTTTTTAGATTCCACATAGACATACGCATCCTTCCTCGATAAAGAATGAAAAATGCTGATGCATTATCATTCCATCTTTTTTCCATTTGCATTTTGATTTTTATTCGAGGATAGATATAAATGTTTATAGGCCACAGCATCCACTTGCCATCAGTTGGAGTATGTGCTTGTCACCCTAATGCTATAAAAAAGTAATCTCAATTGTAAAAAATTACTTGTAAAAGTAGTCTCCAACACCGATGTTGTTGAGTTCGTTGGTGATGACGGTGGCGTCCCTAGAGTCGATGGGGACGGCGACCGCCGCGGCAACGAACAAGGCAAAAACAATGAGCTGAAACGTAAAGATTATTCTTTTAATTTTTCAAATATGAATTATACGCGGTAGAGACACACTGCAGCTATATTAGTTGAGGCACGATTTGACAACGAATGGGTCGGCTCGACCAAGGTAGGACCACGCGCTCACAGAATACCAACGTGAAATAACAACTAATGCTGCTGTGTTTTGTATGGTGAGTGTAAAGAACCGGAAATTTTTTTTACTGGAAACGAGGCATTCCATCTTAGTCATTTGAGGACTACCTCATGAGTGACTACGCGTCTGCATTTTGGTTCTCAAGGATAAATGTAGATTGTAGATGTCTAGGAGCCACAGTATTCACTTACTATCCGGTGGACTGTGTGCTCGTTTGTCATTCTTATTCCATAAAAAATGTTTAAATAAATAAGTAAAATATCAGTCTATAAGCGTACTACAGCTGGACACAGGTCTAGTATCATTTTTGAGAGTGTTACACATCAGGGAATTATCTGCCGCCTTTCCCCTGTTGACAGACTTTACGTGTACTCGAAATATTTATTTTGTGTGGTTCTAAATTATTTTTATTATAATATACAAGGATTGCTCCGATTTCCTTAATTTAATTAAGATTATGTACTTATTTTATATGTAAATATGTTTTTGGAATGTGGCAAAAAATGATATTTATTTATCTACACATATAATAAATCTGTAGAAAAATTATGTGTTCACGATTCACGCACAAATTATAAAACGAATTTCCGTGAAATTTAGTAACGTAGGCAGTAAATAACCGTGTGTAACATATAGGCTATTTTATCCACTTCATCATTACATCATCACTACAACCCTTCACAAGTCCACTGCTGAACATAGGCCTCCCCCAAGGAATGCCACAAAGCACGGTCCTGAGCCATCTGCATCCATCGACTTCCTGCATGTCTTACCAGGTCGTCACTCCATCTAGTGAGGGGTCACCCTACACTTTGCCTACCGGTACGAGGCCGCCACTCGAGAACCTTTCTTCCCCATCGGTTATCGGTTCTTCGAGCTATATGTCCGGCCCACTGACACTTCAGCTTACTAATCCGTTGGGCCATTTGGAGAAGCAAAAAAAGGGATTATGTTTTTCCTTTTTTCTTAAGTTTATTGTCATTATGGTTGCTGATGGTTATTTTAGTCCTACAGAAGATTTAGGCGTACGTATAATAAATCTATAGAAAAGTGTGTGTGTGTGAAAATGAAACTCATCGTGCAACCAACCAGTAAGGGCAGAATAACGTCTGACGAGCCAGCTAGGTGTAATATACTCTCTTGATAAAGAAAGGAATATCGCTCAAGCCGGAAATAAAAAGTATAAAATATTCGAATTAAGAACCCCCTTCTTTTTCGTCGATTAAAATCATTTCGAATTCAAACAAAATTTAAATCCTTCCAAATATCTTACTTTAGCCGTAATTCGCATTTAAAAATCAATTTTAAATCCGAAATGATTATTGATGGATTCAGATGTAGCCACTTTGACCGTGTTAACTTACATATTCTACATCTAATTCTATCACGACAAAACCGGTTAAAGCCTCTAAATATTCATCAGTGGAACTTGTTTTTACACGTAGATATTTAAGAATTTCCAAAAAAATGTGAATGCATTGCAATTGCACTGTAACTACTACTTATATTGCACTGTAACACTAAATAGAACTGTTTAAAATATTATTTCTATCACCAACCAGTACTGTCACGGTTGGGTTCCAGCCTGAAAGATTACAGAAGCAATATTACAGGTCGTGAGATAATGCATCTTCGTTGTAACGATGACAACGCAACTGTGGCCTTCTTTGCTTATATGATAGTTGGTTGCAGATGCTTATGAATTAGCAGATGACTTAACATCACGGGAAATATCCTACTAAAATAAAAATAAATTATACTGTTAAGATCATAATACGGAATTTCCTATAATATAATACGAATTTTTAGATATTTTTTTTATTATTACTTAAACGAACATGACTAGTTTTTTCAGTTTTTAACTAGTGTATATTTTCATAATTTAAAATACCTTTTCTAAAGCGAAACACTCACGATTTTTAGCGAATTGCTTAAAACAGTTAATTAAATTTTGATATACAATAAAATTTTCTATTAAATAATTCATTAGATTACTTACGGATTTCATTTTTGCGAAGGATGTTCGGTGTTGGATCTATATTGCGTGAGGATGATTTGCCAGAGACTGATTAGAATATTCATTTCACACATTTATATACGTCTTAGGTCTAGTTTGCATATATTTGTATGTATGTTGGCAAAACCTATATCATGGGAACTTTTTTATTTCTTTTCAGTCGATGTTTTCTTCCTTTTAAAAATAATCAAATGTGGGTTTATTTGCTCAGTTTTTGCTCCGTGTCATCAACTATCTTCTAATTTTTTATATAGAGGTAAGAGTGACAATCATATGATTTAAGTTAATGATGTAACACATACACATCTACATTTTTTCTCGATAAAGAATCAAAATGCAGATGCGTTGTTACCCCTAAATACCTTCTTACTAGTAAAAATCTGATCTCCGGCTTTCGTCACTCGCTTCGATGTTCTATGCGAGCGTGGTCTTTCCTCAGTCGAGCCAATGATGAACTGAACTGAACAGCGCAAATGTTGCAGCTATAATACTCTGCGGCATACGTCGCACTCTACTACGTCTACGCGAGTTCCTTCAATAGAAAAAAAGTATACGTGGTGACTCCTTAATATTAGCAGATAAAACATTATAATATAAATGACGTAAAGATATTGTGAGTGATAAAATCCGTAAAAATTAGTTTCATTCATTTAATATTGTGAGCCTCTCTATTGAACAAACTGTGTGTCGAGCTAGAAATCACATTGTTAAATGATTGACTATTTCAAAAGGATTTTTGACGAAGTTTTGCTCACAATTAGTAAACATAACAAGTCTGTTGTAATATGCCAAGACTTTAATAATATCAGTATCCTAAAAATTTCTTCCATTAGTATTAAATTTAGCTCATTGTTGTAATCATTACAATCTTGTTAATTTATTTTTTAAACCAACACGTATTGCTAGGCCTAGTGTGATTTGTATAGATAACATTTTACAGATGCTAAGCCCTTGCATAAATTAACCATTCGAAATTTCAGTTCGGACCACTGTTGACAGTTTCATTTCCTTACATATATACATAAAGAACAGAAAAATGAAAGAGTTGTGCTTGTGCCAATAAATGAACATCGCTTGGAGAGGCTTAGAAGTAGAAAAAGACTTCCATCACGTTCATGTAAAAATACTGCTGATTATTTGTACGTTGCATTATTTAAAATTGTAAGATGTGTATTTGATAGCATATTTACTTCTAAAACTTTCCCCTTAAACAGTCGCAAATAATTTAATAAATGGGTGACAGAATTTATAAAAATAGGCGAAGGTTCTATGAGATTTGTGATGAATGATCATATAATCATAGTGTTATATTTTGAAAACAAGTAAAAAAATCTAAAATACCTACTTAAAAGTGTACTCTACGGCTATGTATGTTTTATATTTAAATAGCAAAATTAAAACTGCACCCATCAAAATTAAATAATTAAATTTGACTCAATCTGATCAAGAAGTTGCCGGGGCTTTTGAGATACACTTTACTGATGTTTTTTTTTTTTGAGAACAAGTACTTATTCAAATTCAATCACTGCTTAAACAAAATAGAAAATCTCAAATTTCACAGAGTATTGCTAAAAGATATCGTGAATGAATATTACAAAAATATGTATGTATGTATGTACGTATGCATGTATGTACGTACGTATGTAAGTATGTATACTACCCTCCAAAAGTGTGGAAGTACATCTGTTTTAATACAAAACAAAACATCGCCGTCAATATGCGGTAATAGTTATAAAATTAAGTTTTACGATCTTTTAGAATTATTGTTTACACAAAAACTAAAGCATTTTTATACCACTACCACATTTGTCAAGTTTTAAGAAATTGCTGCCCCGCAAGCAATTTAAAAATTGCTTGCGGGTGCTTTCTTTTATGCAATGATGTGGTTTTATTGAACATTTTTGCTAGTTATAACTTTTTTTATGTTATGTTTTGTATGTTTATGTTGTTATTGTTATTACTTTTTTTTGGACCCACTATAGTTGTAGTTAAACGAAGTCGCTCAAGCGCGGTTGTAGTGAGAAGAGCTTGTCGCGCAGGTTGTGATATTAACATTATATCTGTATGCGAAAGATTTTTACTACTGATTTGACCGTACTTTTTCTTCGGAAAATGGCAAAATCCAAGCAAAGCACACTTGATGCGCTATTTGTACTTTACGTGAGGAAGGATACAGTGAAGGTCAAATCGTAGAAAGACAGAATTTTTTGTAAAGGTGTCCACTACACGCTTGCTAGAAAAGAAGAAACTGGGAATGATGAAGATATAAAAAGATTTGGTAGGCCCAAATCCACAACAAATCAAGAGGATAACTTCATCAGAGTTCTCTCTAAACGGAACCTACTAACTACTAAGACGTACTAAGTACTAAGAGGATGTGTTGATTGTGTTGCTGATAAAAAACCAATGCTAACAATTGAACATAAGAAAACTAGCAAGGGCGCATAAAAACTAGACAGTAGATCAATGCGAAAATGTCCTTTGGTCGGACGAATCAAAGTTTCAGTTTTTGGGTCTAATAGACGTGTGTTTGTACGCCGGTGAAAAGAAGAGAGGGCTTCAAAAGCATGTACAGTACCCACTATTAAACATGTCGGTGGTAATGTCATAGTTTGGGGGTGTTTTGGCAACAGTGAAATCGGAAATCTTGTGAGGATAACTGGAAAACTAAACAAAGAAAGCTATCTAAAAATTCTTAAAGATTCGGCCATTCCCAGTGGACTGAATCTCATTGGTCCTGGGTTCACTTTTCAACAGGATAATGATCCTAAGCATTCGTCAAAACTGTATCAGAACTTTTTAAACAAGAAAAAAACAAGATTTTCAAAATCATACAAAGGTAATCTCAATCACCTGACTTTTCACCATTGAAGTTGTTTGGGTTTAACTCGAAAAAGAGTGAAAAATCATCTCCAACATGTTCAAAACTTTTTGGAAACTATTGGCGAGCGAATTAAACAAGTTAGATAAATATTATTTTAAGAAATTAATTAATAGAAGGCCTAAAATATGCGAGAAGATAATAAAAGAAATTAATAAAATCCGTAAAAAAAATAGTTTTATTCAACAAAAGAAAAGTTTGTACATTTCTATTACGCTAAAATTTAAATTAATTTTCATATTGCATGTTAAATTCTTACTTTGTTTTAATTTGTTTTTGTTTAATTCTTAATTTAAAATCAATAATAAATAAAATTGAAGGCTTTGTTGCCTTTTATTTGATTTTACCTGGCTGCTACCAAACTTTTGGACGGTAGCAAGGTGGAAAAACTTAAGTACTTTCCATCCATGTCCCGCTCCACTTTTTACGCAGTCTGGTTTTTAAATTACTGCTTTAATCATTTCATTAATACGAGTATAATTTAAATATTATTGATGATTTATAAATACATTTCATGCTCTTAGGTCCATTAATAAATTTGTTATAAACATTATTTTTTCATATATATAATCTAACTTTGGACCGTACATATGAACCAACTAGTAGTTCTAGTTAGTTCATATTATATACAGTCTATTTAGAAGTTAGTAATAAATAGCAGAAAGACCGTAATTATGTAATAAAATCTTGTAGGCGATGTAATCTACGACAATGCAGCCGACCTTGGCATTCACTTTCCATATTGATATTAACGAGAAGACGAGATCGTTAGAATAAATTATTGAGCTGGTCCCAAACCGGCTGGGCGAACCGACTGATCGAAACATGGCAGACTTTGTGTACTACATATTGCACTGACTCTGCTTGGTAGTAATTCATTAAATTTCACGGCATTGCAAAATCACGTATTCTTATTATTCTTCTGTAATGATGAATGCTGTTTTAGATAGTTTTAGACCGTTATTTACGCAAGACAATCTGTTTAGAAACAGGTTTTTTTTTTTTACTATTTTAACCTTTAGCTTGTATTATATACTCGTATATATATGTGTGTGTGTAAGTGTGAGTAATTGTAAAATTCAAGCAGAAGTCATCGGTCATCGAACAAACACACGTTCTGAAGAATTATGCATTATAAAGATATAATGTATATAGTACAACCTTAATACCTATAACCGTTATACATATTATATGTTGTAACGGTTTAGTTAGTGCTTCCAAATCATAACGGGTTAGTTTGTAACCAGCCTGATGAAAATGAAGGAGAGATAATAAAAACGAAGAAGGTAGCAGAGTAGGTAATAAATTCTGAAGATTTAAGAAATTATGTATCTGTAATATTATAATTTTATATACCTATATGTTATCAGAAAAAAAATTATTCTTAAGGTTAAATACAAAAAGATCAAAATAGTTGTATGAATAGAATAGTTGAATTGTTTGAATAGTTGAATGAGCACAAATTCCACCTGATGGTAAGTGGATGCTGTAACCCATATACATCGACATTTATCCTAAGTTAAGATTCTAAATGCAGATGCGTTGTCACAGGTGTGAGGACTAAGATGGAATGCTTCGTTTCCAGT